CTCCTTCTCCTCCTCCTCCTCCCTCCTCCTCCTCCTCCTCCCCAAGATGTGCCATGCGATCGAGAGGATTGCATGGCGCTCTTGGACGGCCCCGAGTGCGCGCAGCGAGGCCGGCAGCGACTCTGGCTCCAGACAGGCAGAAGCCTGCCGCTGGTCGTCGTGCCAGCTGCCCCTATCCCCGTTTCGGCTGCCCCCGATCAAAAGGGGCCCTACAAAACGGCATGGTGGAAGAAGGAGGAAGAAGGAGGGAGGAGGAGGAGGAGGAGGAGATAGAAGGAGGGAGGAGGAGAGGAGGTAAGGAGGAGGAGGAGGAGGAGGAGGAGGAGGAGGGAGGGGAGGGCGAGGAGGAGGAGGGGGAGGAGGAGGAGGAGGAGGAGGAGGCCCTCCCCCGTCCTACATATGGTGGTGGTGGAACACTTGCCCATCAGCATCTGCGTTCCAACGAGGAGGATTTGTTATTCGAGGATCGTGTACACAACTCGCCTCGCCAAGCGCGCTGGCAACTGTCCTGTTCATCGCAAGGCTGTCCCACAAGCGTGGCCGAAGCTCCGGCCAGGGACTCGGGCTATAACAGGTACGGGCCTTCGCCACGATGACGTTGCTGCTGATCACGTTGTATCCCAACAGAGAGGATACCCTTCCGACGCTCGTCTGGAATGAGGGGAGCAATGTTTTGCCAGCGTGAGCCCAAACAATGAGTCAATCCGCCTTCGAAACATAAGCCGCGTGGTGTGGCGGCAACAAGGCGGCAGCGGGCGGCAACGCGGCGACTCCTCGACATCCCCCCGAGGCGGCAGCGGGGGGGGCAACGCGGCGAATCCTCGACGCACACCCCGCGGCTCCGAGGCGGCCACGGGCGGCATCGGGTGGCAGCGTGGCGAATCCTCGACACAGCGGCCTAGTTCTTTTGGGGGGGTACATGAGAACCCCTAATGAAGAGCATGCACAGTTGGGGAACGGATGCCTGAACTTTCGGATGTCCGCGCGGACTTCCAAAAGTCGTGCTGGAGACGATATGAAAAGGAGTCTCACGCGAGATGGCACAGCGACGACGTGGTGGCTTACGCTGGCCGCCAGCGCGGCACGCTACACTGGAAACGAGGGCGCTTGCGCGCGACCTTACGTGGGTAATTTACTCGCCCATGTCGGCGCAGTCGAACCCGTATTTTTGGTTGCGCCGCTCATGCATGTCTACTTGCTCCTCCAATGGAGATGTAGGTAAGGAGCCGAACTCTATGCACCGGCGCTTTGTCCTGCCCCGCACTGCAATTCGCACAAGAAAACGGATCCTGGTGTATACGGGATCCTGGTGTATGCATGTCTCGCTGTTCCCCCCCCCCCGGAAAACGGAAGAAGCAAGTATACACCACACCACCCCCACGTCCTCCAAAGCCCTGGGATTGAAAAGCAGCCCGCCACTGGCAGTGAACATGCTCCCACGCGGCACACCAAAGCGGTGCCCAGCCAAGGCCCAGTCTTTGGCACCCAGGCGCGCGGTGTGCTCTGCGCCCCCCTGGCCGCAGCCGCGCCCTCGTGGGGGGCCCCCGGGTGGCCCCGACGGGGCAGTGTGGCGTGCCCGGCCAGCCGAACGAGCTGCGGCTTGAGTGTTGCATCCAGAAGCCACCGTTGAGTCGGGCCTGTCCCCCTACAGGGGGGCTTTCGACAAAAAATTAAAAATACCCTAAAATTATTCCAAAAATAATCCAAAAATAGTCTGGGGACTATTTTTTGCGTATTTGTTAACCTTTTGGGAATATTTTCGGAACATTTATTTGTCGTCGAAAATCCCCCTTCAGGGGGACATGCCCGACATAACGCCACCGCTGGAGCGCCACCGCAAATCGCAGTCACGCCAGCTGCCTACGAAAAGGCCTCTCGCGAGTCCCAGCGCCCATGTTGGGAGAGGGCTCGGGGCGGGCGCGAAGGCAAGGGAGCGCAAAGACGAGCGTCGCCAGTGTGCGCCCCTGGATGTGTGTCGGGGAGACGTAAGGCTCGAGTTTGGAGGACTCGAGTTGGTGAGCGTGTTTTTGTAGTCGGCGGTTCGACGTTGGGCGGGAGGGGGGGGGGTCTGGCTCTGGACCTCTGCTTGGTGCGACTGTCAGCAGCACTGGGTCCTATGAGGGGAGACTCGACCTGCTCGAAACAGGCGCCCGAAACAACCAAGATCTACTCAATGGGGGGGAGGGGGGTTTGGTGGCCCGCGCCGATCGGCAAAACAATGAATGAAAAAAGGATCACTTGGCGTATCATTAAAAAAGAAGAGACCCAATCTAAGACTTGACGCGAACTCCCGCTGCAACCGTTCCACGAAAAATGAACCGTCGAAATTCGGATCTGGCCCGCCAAACAGCGCAGGGAGCTCGAATGCAGGCGAACTCGCGTCTTACGTTTCCCGGAGTATGGAGTGAGAACTGCGTCAATGCTGCCGTTGTCGTGCACAGGGGCGGTTGAGGATCCTGCCAGGAGCACTCCATAGCCAAATGAGACTCGATGGAGTGCCTGGAACTCGATGGCTGCAACCACCTTACTGGAGGCACGTGGCCTGGCCATCGGTGATCCCGCTGCCGCCATCACGATGCACATGAGCTTCGCCAGCGTGCGGCTGCGTTTCTGTGCACCGCCAGCGCGCGTGGGATTGTCGACGCTGCCTCGCCCCGTCGGCGTTACAGTCGGGGCCCTGAAGAAGGAACCCTTTTCGTTGGGGAGGGGCTCCGCGTTCCTTAAGTGTTTCGCAGCTTGCCTCAGGTTTTCCTTCTGTCTTCGATATGAGATCGAAGTTTGACTCATGGAAGAAAGGGGCTTCGTTCCTTATTTTGGGTTCCTTAGGTCAAGGCCCCGACTGTACGCAGGAGAGTCCGTATCGAGCCCGAGGCCTCGGAACGCGCACGCCGAGACCACCCTCGGCGGCGGCCCAAAACGGCCGCGACCAGAACCCTGTGGCAGCCGAAGCGGTGCCGCGTCTCCGCCGAAGCCCTCGTGGAGCAATCACGTCGTCGCCCAGGCACGCGAGGCAACATCGCACGTCGGGCGCTCATTCTGTTGGGCGCCCGAATTATCCAGGGTAACTCGGGTCCGGGGTAACGCGGGTTTGGATTCCCGAAAAACGAACCCGAGTTAGCCCTGACCCGAGTTACCCCTGATGATTTAGGGCTCTGGACGCCCGAATTATCCGGGGTAACTCGGGCCCGGGGTAACTCGGGTTCGGAATCCCGAAAAGCGAACCCGAGTTAGCCCTGACCCGAGTTACCCCTGATGATTCGGGGCTCTGATTCTGGGCGATGAATGGGCCACTGGGGCTATTCTCTCCCGCCTCCTCCTCGACGACTCCCGCCCCTGGACTGCCCCGAGTCTCCCCCCTGGACTGCCCCTGGTCCCGTGCCTTGGAGCCACCCCTGCGCTCCTGCCACTGAGCCAGGAAGAAGCCCGTCATCAGCGCCGCGATGCAGCCTACGTTCAGGTAGCTGCCCCCGAAGAGCAACACCATCCCCGCGGCGGAGTGTACGGAGATGCAGGCCAGGCAATCGAAACCGTGGTCGAAGAGCTGCCCCAACGGAGTCGCCGAGCCGGTCCGGCGGGCCTGCTTGCCGTCCATCGCGTCCGTGCTCTGATAGAAGAACGTGGAGAAGGCGACAAAGAGGCACAGCCACCTGGGAAGTCCAGGGGGAGGAGGGGGAGGAGGGGGAGGAGGAGGAGGAGGAGGAGGAGGAGGAGGAGGAGGAGGTAGGAGGGGAGGAGGGGTAGGCGGAGGAGGAGAGGAGGAGGGAGAGGGAGGTGGAGAGGGAGGAGGAGGAGGAGGAGGAGGAGGAGGAGGAGGAGGAGGAGGAGGAGGCGACGAAGAGGCACAGCCACCTGGGGACCGTCGTCGCGAAGTCTGGGGAGTAGCGCCACAGCAGCAGGTAGGAGGCCACCAGCGGCGCAAAGCCGACGACGGTCACCAGATTCGGCGCCAGCCAGGTGGGCAAGCGCTCGGTCAGCCACATCCACCTGGACGACACAGAAAAGTCCCACCAGCGCTTCAGGGCGTAATTAGGCGGTTTAGAGCGCGTCCTCGTCCAACCCTCCTCATTTTCCCTTCGGGGAGGCGATGATCATTGTTCCCCACTAGCAAGACACCCCCCTCCTCCCACAGGCGACCAGCAGCCAACGCGGACTCATGCCCCCCCCATCCCTGTCAAGAAACGTTGTAAAAAACACGTTGGGGCAAAACCTTGGGTCATGCCCGGGGGGGGGGGGGCGTGAGCACTTAGCATGAATTGTTCCCAACCATCCTGTGGTGTTGGGTCCTCGTTTTGAAGAGACGGTCCCCGCGTTTCTCCTCCCTCCTTCCTCCCTCACCTGCGCTTCACCCTCTGTGCTTCACCCACCCAGTACAGCGCTTCGTGGCCCCATGGGGAGCTCCACCGAAAGCGCCAGTGCCACCGTCCGCATGCGCCCTGGAAACCCAATTTGCCATTTTCACCCACCCAGTACAACGCTTCGTGGCCCCATAAGGAGCTCCACCGAAACCCCAAAGGGACCGTCCGCATGCGTCCTGGAAACCCAATTTGGCAGTTTCACCCACCCAGTACAGCGTTTCGTGGCCCCATAGGGAGCTCCACCGAAATACCCAGAGGGACCGTCCGCATGCGCCCCCCAAACCCAATTTGGCGTGTTCACCCACCGAGTAAACCGCTTCGTGGCCCCATGGGGAGCTCCACCGAAACCCCCAGTGGGACCGCCCGCATGCGTCCCAGAAGCCAAGTTTGGCATATTCACCCACCCAGTACAGCGCTTCGTGGCCCCATAGGGAGCTCCACCGAAACCCTCAATGGGACAGTCCGCATGCGCCACGGAAGCCCAATTTGGCATTTTCACTCACCCAGTACAGCGCTTCGTGGCCCCATAGGGAATTCCACCGAAGCCCCCAGAGGGACCGCCCGCATGCGTCCCACACACACACACACACACACACACACACACTCACACACACACACACACACACATACACACACACACAATCTGGCATTTTCACCCATCCACTACAGCGCTTCGTGGCCCCATATGGAGTTCCACCGAAAGCGACAATGCCACCGTTCGCATGCGTCCCGGATACCCTTATTTGGCATTTTGACAATCCCGGTACAGCGCTTCCTGGCCCCAGAAGGAGCTCCACCGAAGCCCCCAGTGGGACCGTCCGCATGCGCCCCCCAAGCCCAATTTGGCATTTCCGCTCACCCAACACAGCGTTTCGTGGCCCCATAGGGAACTCCACCGAAGGCGCTAATGCCACCGTCCGCATGCGTCCCGGAAACCCAATTTGGCATTTTCACCGATCCGGTACAAAGCTTCGTGGCCCCATAGGGAGCTTCACCGAAGCCCCAAGTGCTAACGGCCGCATGCGTTCCTCCACCCAGTACAGCGCTTCGTGGCCCCAAGAGAAGCTACACCGAAAAGATATTCACAACTGCGGTATCCACAACTGCATATGGTTGGGTCCTTCGCAAGGCTCGCAAGGTTACTTCGTTTCCCAACCATCCTGGGGTAGTTAGGTTTTTGTTTTGAAGAGGCGGTCCCCGCGTTCCTCCTCCCTCCTTCCCCTCCTCCATCCCCCCTGCGTTTCACCCACCCAATACAGCGCTTCGTGGCCCCATCAGGAACTCCACTGAGACCCCCACTGGGACCGTCCGCATGCGTCCTGAAACCCAATTTGACATGTTCACCCACCCGATACAGCGCTTCGTGGCCCCATAGGAAGCTCCACCGAAACCCTCAGTGCCACCGTCCGCATGCGTCCCGAAAACCCAATTTGGCATGTTCACCCACCCAATACAGCCCCATAGGGAATTCCACCGACATCCCAAGTGGGACCGCCCGCATGCGCCACTGAAACCCAATTGTGCATTTGCACCCACGCAGTACAACGCTTCGTGGCCCCGTAAGGAGTTCCACCGAAACCCCCAGTGGGACCGCCCGCATGCGTCCTGGAAGCCGAATTTTGCACTTTCACCCACCCAGTACAGCGTTTCGTGGCCCCATAGGGAGCTCAACCGAAACCTTCAGTGGGACCGTCCGCGTGCGTCCCACACACACACACGCACACACGCACACACACACACACACACACACACACACACACACACACACACACACACACACACACACACACACACACACACACACACACACACACACACACACACACACACACACACACACACACACACACACACACACACACACTTTTGCATTTTCACCTACCCAGTAAAACGCGTCGTGGCCCCTTTAAGGAACTCCACCGAAGCCGCTTGTGGGACCGTCCGCATGCGTCCCAAAAACCCAATTTGGCATTTCTACTCACCCAGTACAGCGCTTCGTGGCCCCATAGGGAGGGCGCTCCACCGAAGCCCCCAGTGGGACCGTCCGCATGCGTCCCGCAAACCCAATTTGGCATGTCCACCCACCCAATAAAGTGCTTCGTGGCCCCATAGGGAGCTCCACCGACGGCCCCACTGCTACCGATCGCATGCGCCCCCCCCACCCAGCGCAGCGCTTCGTGGCCCCATAGGGAGCTTGACATAAGAACATATTCTCAATTGCGATACCCACAATTGCATGTGGGTGGGTCGCTCGCCTCGATAATTTGTCCCCAACCATCCTGTGGTGTGGGGTCTTTGTTCCCAACCATCCTGTGGTGTTGGGTCCTCGTTTTGAAGAGACGGTGCCCCGCGTCTCCTTCCTTCCTTCCTCCTCCCCCTCCTCCCTCCTCCCCCATCCTGGCTTTTGCTCTCCGCATGTCTCTGTTTCGGCACACCCCTCACACGTTTCGTGGCCCCATAGGGAGCTCCACCTAAGGTCCCAGTGGCGGAACTCGCATGGCGCCGCCGCCCCATTTTGGCACACCCCTCACACGTTTCGTGGCCCCATAGGGAGCTCCACCTAAGGTCCCAGTGGCGGAACTCGCATGGCGCCGCCGCCCCATTTTGGCACACCCCTCACACGCTTCGTGGCCCCATAGGGAGCTCCACCTAAGGTCCCAGTGGCGGAACTCGCATGGCGCCGCCGCCCCATTTTGGCACACCCCTCACACGTTTCGTGGCCCCATGGGGAGCTCCACCTAGGGTCCCAGTGGCGGAACTCGCATGGCGCCGCCGCCCCATTTTGGCACACCCCTCACACGTTTCGTGGCCCCATAGGGAGCTCCACCTAAGGTCCCAGTGGCGGAACTCGCATGGCGCCGCCGCCTCATTTTGGCACACCCCTCACACGCGTCGTGGCCCCATAGGGAGCTCCACCTAAGGTCCCAGTGGCGGAACTCGCATGGCGCCGCCGCCCCATTTTGGCACACCCCTCACACGTTTCGTGGCCCCATAGGGAGCTCCACCTAAGGTCCCAGTGGCGGAACTCGCATGGCGCCGCCGCCCCATTTGGCACACCCCTCACACGCTTCGTGGCCCCATGGGGACTCCACCTAAGGTCCCCGAACCCGCGTGGCGCCGCCGCCCCATTTTGGCACACCCCTCACACGCTTCGTGGCCCCATAGGGAGCTCCACCTAAGGTCCCAGTGGCGGAACTCGCATGGCGCCGCCGCCCCATTTTGGCACACCCCTGGGCCGTCGGCTGCCCGGCGCGCTGCTCCCTCGGCCGACATCGCCCAGGCGTGATCCTGGACTGCGGCCGCCACGAGGTGGGGAACGGCAAGAAGGAGGACGACGACTGGTGGCTGGAGCTCTACGTCCTGCTCTCGCGCGCCACGCGCCACGAGGACCTCCTGCTCATGCGGGCGCCGCGCATCGAGTTCTTCCTGGCAGGGCCGCCGGGGGCTTGCGGAAGCAGCTGGAGCAGTTTGCGGCGCGCACGAAGCGGTGCAGAAGGGAGGCGACGGCCCTCGCCAGGGAGATGGGCTTCACCGAGTTTATCCGCGAGGCTTGACCTGAGGAGCGGCCCGCCCGAGACTCGCCGTCTCTCGACGGTCTGACTGTTTGGCCTCGCGCCGCGGGCGATCCGCGCGCGTCGCTGGGACCCTCTCGGGGCGACCAGCGCGCGTCGCGGGAATTCCGCGCTGCGCTCTGCCCAGAGCCTCGCTCGCCCCCGTCGTCGCTCTGCCCGGCGGCCACAGTCTTGCCCGCTATCACCCAGCTAGCTAGCACTCTCTCTGCTCCGCGCAGCGGACGACCCACGCGCGTCGCCGGGACCCCTTCGGGGCGACCAGCGTGCGTCGCGGGGACTCAGTGCGGCGCCGCGCCCGCAGCCATGGACATCGGCGCGCACGGGCAAAGAGGCAGAAAAAAAAGGGGAAGGAAGCGGGCGCGATCCTCGTGAGGGGCGTGCCGACGTGGGCGTCGACATTGATGCACGTAGACTGATTCGCACGCAGACACATTCACAATCAGACTTACTCGCGCTCAGGCTCACCCGGTCTCTGTCTCGCGCACTCAGAGCGATCGTCTTTGTTCGTATTGGGGACCCCGCCACGCATTTCGGCACGCCCCCTCACACGGTTCGCGGCCCCGGAGCGCGAGCGAAGATGAGATCCACAATCGCGGTATTCACAACTGCATATGGTTGGGTCCTTCGCCAGGCTAATTTTGAAGAGACGGTCCCCGCGTTCCTCCTCCCTCCTTCCTTCCTCCCCCTCCTCCCCCCCCCTGCGATTCACCCACTCAATAAAAACGATTCGTGGCCCCTGCTCCACCGAAACCCCCAACTGGGACCGTCCGCATGCGCCACGGAAGCCCAATTTGCCATTTTCGCCCACCCAGTACAGCGCTTCGTGGCCCTATAGGGAACCCCACCGAAAGCCCCCAATGGGACCGTCCGCGTGCGTCCCACACACCCAATTTGGCGTATTCACCCACCCAGTACAGCGCTTCGTGGCCCCATCGGGAGCTCCACGGAGACCCCCGGTGGGACCGCCCGCATGCGTCCCCGAAACCCAATTGGGCATTTTCACCTGCCCACCACAACGTTTCGTGGCCCCATAGGAAACGTGGTTGCTGATGAGCACGCGGGCGAGGCGTCGGCCCGCGCCCAGATTCCGGAGGCGATTCGGCAGAAGGTGATGGTCGAGGAGAAGCGCGCTTGGCTGGTGCGCCACCGCCTGCTGCGAGCGTCCCCGGGACGCCATGCAGGCCGAGGAGCGGGGCGGAGGAGGCAGGAGATCGGGGCCCTCTCGCCCTCCCCCTCGCCCTGCTGCCCCTGCCCTCGCCGCCGCCTCCTCGCCCACGCATCAGCTCGAGGAGTCCCGTAAAAGATGTCAGGAGGGCTTCGGTTCGGCCACTGTGGCCACTCTGAAGGAGAGGCATGCGTCTCCTCGTTTCACCCCGCCCCCTGTTCATGAGAAGTACGTGGCCCCCCGCACGAATGCAAAAAAAGCCCAGAACGAATGCAAAAGAAGCCCGCCGCAGGCGCCGAAAATTTTGGGTGGGTCGCGGGGTGGGTCGCGGGTGGGTCGCGGGTGGGTCGCGGTGGGTCGCGGGTGGGTCGCGGATCGGTCGCTGGTGGGTCGCGGGGTGGGTCGCGGGTGGGTCTCGGGGTGGGTCGCCGGGGGTGTCCCGGGGTGGGTCGCCGATGCAAAAGAAACCCGCCGCAAGCGCCGAAATTTTGGTTTGTTCAGTGAACGTAGTTTGGGTCGCGGGTGGGTCGCGGGCTCTCCACCTCCACCTGGAAGGAATTCAAAAACAGCCCGCAGCAGGCGCCGAAAATTTTGACTTGTACACTGAACGCGGTTTGGGTCGCGGGTGGGTCGCAGGTTCTCCACCTGGAACGACCTGGAACGAATGCAAAAAAAACCCGCCGCAGGTGCCGAAAATTTTGTGTGGGTCGCGGGGTGGGTCGCGGGTCGGTCGCGGTGGGTCGCGGATGGGTCGCGGATGGGTCGCGGGTGGGTCGCGGGGTGGGTCGCGGGTGGGTCGCGGGTGGGTCGCGGGTGGGTCGCCGGTGGGTCGCGGGTGGGTCGCTTGGGGTTCCCGGGGTGGGTCGCGGGCGGGTCGCGAGGTCGGTCGCGGGTGGGTCACGGGTGGG